GTTGGCACTGAGCTGGTCCTTCTTTTCAAAAGAGGAGGCTTTCGTCTCACCAAGAAGATGAGCTCATTACGAAGCCGGTGGTCTGCCGTCCTAAGAAGTGGTGATTCTCTCAGGACTACGTTTCTTCAGGCCAGACATCATCATCGCTCCCGGGTGTCTGAGGGAGCTCGGTGGACCTTTATCTATTTCAGCTGACTGAGCCCCGTCCGGGACCGGAGCTGGGCTCCCTGCTGATTCCTGGGCTGGCTCGGAGCCAGCTCTCCTGACCCTTCCAACCGTGTCAACATTAGCTGATACCAGAAAGGGGCAGTGAATATTCAGTTTAATCCAGTCAGTGCAGCTTATCAACGGTGGGCGTAAACACAAGCTGCATAAATTAATTTTGAGAACATAACTCTGCCTCTCAAAGCTTTTAAACAAAACAATGACTTTTAGAAAAACACCATTTTCTTCACAGATGCTAGTTTGGTTTCTGCACACACACATTGGCAAACAACAGAGGTCCTGTTTGAAGCGGTTAACTTCCTGGTTGTCACGGCAACCACACCTCTTGTTATCCTGAGGCTATGAAGGAGTTCTGTCAATTGTTGATATTTGTTTTAAAGACTAACAGTCTGTCCCTTCCCAGGTCATCGGAGCGGGTATACTTTAATGATGCCGACTCATTCTGACTCAGAGAGGGGGTGGAAGAGACAGTTACTGTCTCTGAGGACAGAATGGACTTCTGAGGGACAGCATGTCCTGAGTCATAGAACACTACAGTTGGGATATTTAATGCAAATAAAAACAGAATCCATTATTTGTAAATTTGATGAACTCATATTATATTGACAATGAAACAGAAAACACATCGTATGTTTAAACTAAAAAAGATGCCATTTTTTAAAGATTAAATAATAAAGTTTATTTCAGCTACTCCCTTCTTCGGGGGTTGTCACATCAAACGATCTTGCATGATTGCAGTGGCAATTGTTTGACGCCACATGCACTTCCTGACGCTCCCTGGGCTCGAATCCACAACTTCAGATTATAAGACCACAATGTGGACCACCAAGCTGCTGCTGCCTTCTCTTAAAGATAAACGAGTATCGCTTAGACTTTTATTGCAACATTGTCTCTGTTTAAAGTTGTTCCAAGTCCGTATGTGGGCGGCTGTGGCTGAGTGGTTAGAGCAGTCGTCCTCCACTGCAAGAGTTGGGGGTTCGAATCCACCAGCAGTCACATGTCAAAGTGTCTCTGGGCAAGACACTGAACCCCTCACAGCCTCTGAT